AGTTGAGTATGAGGTGAAGAGGAGTAAACAGTTACCTAGGAGGTGAGGAGGAGTAAGCAGTTGAGTAGGAGGTGACGAGGAATAAACAGTTCAGTAGGAGGTGAGGAGTAGTAAACAGTTCAGTAGGAGGTGAGGAGGAGTAAGCAGTTCAGTAGGAGGTGAGGAGGAATAAACAGTAAAGTAGGAGGTGAGGAGGAGTAAGCAGTTAAGTAAGAGGTGAGGAGGAGTAAGTAGTTCAGTAGGAGGTGAGGAGTAGTAAGTACACAGTTAAGCAGGATGTGAGGAGTAGTAAGCAGTTCAGTAGGATGTGAGGAGTAGTACACAGTTAAGTAGGAGGTGAGCAGGAGTAAACAGCTGAGTAGGAGGTGAGGAGTAGTACACAGTTAAGTAGGAGGTGAGCAGGAGTAAACAGCTGAGTAGGAGGTGAGAAGTAGTAAACAGCTGAGTAGGAGGTGAGCAGGAGTAAACAGATGAGTAGGAGGTGAGCAGGAGTAAACAGCTGAGTAGGAGGTGAGCAGTTGAGTAGGAGCTCCTTTGTAAACATGGGACCACTGACTCGCCTCCTTGAGTTTGTTGCTCAGTTTCTTGATCTCCTCCTCGTAGCGGTCCTCCTTGTGGGAGTACTGTGAAACAGAGACAGCAGAACGTTGGCTACGTACTGTAACCCCAGATTCTATGAGTACAAGCGTAGCCCTTTAACAGCTGTTGCTAGTGGCTTCACCATGCGAGCAGCGCGCCAACACTGAAAAACTCTAGTCCCCTCCCACCTGCTGTGGCCCCACCCTCGGTCCGTATAAATTGCTTCGGGACCAGAGACTGACTCCTAAATAGCGTACTTTATCTTCAGCCATTTAGGAGCCAGGGGGACGCTTCCGTACAAAAAGGAAGGTCCTGTGCTTGAATGAACAGTCAGAAAAACACCCAGCTGATAAGAGGAACACGCTGGGTTGAGAAGATTGAGTGAGAACAGCTGTGACGTCACTCAGACAGGACTCTGAGAACTGAGTGTGTCAGAGAAAAGTCGGCGACATCACGCAGGCAAAAGCAAATGAAAGGGTTTCGATGATGACCAGGAACCCTAACAAATGTCCTGCACAGACACTCCGTGGAGGTTGAAATCCCTCTGGTAGAGTGAGCCCCGAGTCCATCTGGAGGGCAAAGTCCAAAAGAACTATAAGCTTGAGATATAGTCTCACATAACCGGTGTGACAGATGCTGAGGGGATAAAGGTTGTCCTTGTGACTGCTCCCTGAAATGTATGAACAGTTGTTCGGATTTACGCAGTGTGGCTGTGCGCTTCACATAACACGTGAGCGCGTGTACAGGGCAAAGGAAGTGGGATTGTGCTTCCTGTTCAGAGTTATGTGGAGGGAGAGAGAACCCGTCCAGCGTTATAACAGATCTGAATGAGCTTGTGATTCTTTAGGTGTAAAAGCATGATTTGGCCTAAGCACAGCTGAGCTCCTTTCACCTTGGATTCTGAGACAGGAGGGAGCAATGGACAAGGCTGAAAGATTACTCACCATCTTTGCTGACATCAAAGCTAACAACAGAGCTGTTTAGAAAGACAAAAACTTCAGCGGTATCTCATCCAAGAGTTCAAATGGTTCCTTAGTCAGCGCACGGAGTACGAGCACTAGGTCAGACAGGCCCCCTTCCTCACAGTTTTTAAATCCCGCTTAAAAACCTACTACTATTCCATGGCTTTCAACAATGTATGATCTGTTGCTGAACTTGTATGCATCACACTGTGCTAATCTGTTATTATCCGATATTATTTTGTTTGTATATTTTGATTTTACATTATGTTATGTGTTGCTGTGTGCTTTACCTGTTTGTTTCTGTTTGTACAGCATTTTGGTTGGCCTTGTCGCTGTTTAAAGTGCTCTATAAAATGGTATGGTATGGTATCACCTTCACACAGACTCTCTCACTGGTACATTTCCATCTTTAAATCACTTCCTGGTCTGCTGCCTTCATACATCTCCTCCTACGTCTCTGTGTGAGTGCAGCTACAGCGTGCGCTCTCAGGACATCATTACCTGCAGTGTTCCCTCAGTGAGGACTGAGGCCCTATTTATACGGACACTGTGGGGGGGGGGAACAGTTTTATTGTATGTTAATTAGAGGAAAAGATCCGCATCGACATGGACGGATTTTATGTTTACATGCATCTGCAGTTTGTGGTGTTGAATAAATAAATAAAAATTAAACCTGATGTCTTCATTTTCAACTTTTAATAACATGCAACATGTTTCGCATCGTTTAAGTCACATAACTTTAATTACATAATGTTCAGATAGCTTCATTACATTACAGAAATACCGTTTATTATTGTTAAACTGTTAGTATTTAGCACATTTAGTATATTATAGTGCAGCGCGACGTGTGAAATATCCGCCTGCCTTGTTCAATAAATGGCGATATTAGAACTGGATTCGACGTGCGTCTCTTCCCAACACAGATGTCGGTCACAGCAGCTACGTTCCAGTGTAGATTAACTACGATACTCAAAATATATCCCATCAGTCGTAGCTCAGAAAGCAGTACGTTATACTCTGCCGCCAGAAATATGCTGTCAGTCCACGCGTGCATGTGCTCATGTGGTTTAACACAAAACCTCAGCAGAAGATGAGTACATTATCAGCGGGAGGCCTCCTGAAAACCTCCACTCTGAGAGGTGGGTTGAGAAACCTCCGAATTCAAAGAGGGGGGCTACTGGTGTCGTGTAAATGAACAGCTGAACCGCAGCAAGAAAGGAACGGTTTCACTCAAAATATGCGCACTGTAAACAGCCTCTGAACTAGACAAAAGGACCTTCTCCTACTCCGCTCCTGTTTCCTGGAATATCTTGTAAAAAGACCTGAAGCCCTCGACCTTGACCTCTCTAAGTGGTTTCAAACATCTGAAAAGTTCATAGGAAAAAACAACAGACGTGTTCCTGTTTTCTACACTGCCTTACAACCTGGCTGGGGGGTTTTTTCCGTTACATTTTTTTTAATACCATTTTATTTTCACTTGTTATTCTCAATTTGTATGCATACTTTTATGAGTGTCTATTGTTGTCATCACTCTTTATTAAAACCAGGTCTCTCTTGTAAATGAGTCCCTGAGGCTCAATGGGATTAATCTGTATAAATAAAAGTTGAATGAAAAAAAGTTCTGGAGCGATTAGAATTACCTTCAACCGTTTCTCTCGAACCTGCTCCAACAGCTGCGCTATTAGCGGGGTCGAAGCAAAAACAGAAAGTAGCTTCTTTGGCCATGGTTTATGCGCAAACACGTTCACCCCCAGCGGTGGTGTGTCCCGCGGGCTCAGAGAGAAAATCAGTTTGCACTTGGCATTCTCTCAAGCGGCCATAAGATGCACTTCCGCTCTCCCAAATCTACTCCAAATTTGAAGGATCTGATCCAAGTGGAGGCTCTAATCTCTGTCCTGAGGGCCCCCTCTGGACAAAGTATCTGCTCCTCTGTTTAAGATGCTTGGGATGTAGATTGCCCTGATTGAGTAGATGTGTGCGCACCCATCAGAGCAGTTCTCTGGCTGCGTTCAGCAGTTGAGTTGAGCGCACACCCCTTGACAATTTATGTAAGACGCTGTGGTTCTGTTGTCCATGTAAACAATCATGTGATGACCCCTGTAACAGTGGGGCAAAATGTCTAATCACTTTCCCCGCTGTGAGAAGTTCCAACACGTTTATGTGGAGAGACATGTGGACCGGCCACCTCCCTCCCACCGTCTGGGATAGACATGCCCCCCCCACCCCACCGAGAAGGGACGCGGCGGTGAACATGGAAGTGAATGACGTCACTCTGCCCATGGGAATCTCCTCCAACAGGATCTGAGGGTCTCTCCAGTGTCTCAGGTCCGCCCCTACCGACGGGAGAATGGTAACCATGTGGTGTTTGTGACGTGTGGGATCGAAGCGCAGATGATTGAACCATCTCTGCAGACTTCTCATATTTAACAGACCTAACGGTACAACGGCGTGTGCCGCTGACATCTTTCCTTGCAGACACATGACCGTCACCGACCTGTGAACCCTGACATGTTGAAGCAGTGATGTCAGGGATTCTGTTCTCTGCTGTGACAGGAGGGCTGTCATGGTGACTGAATTAAAATCCACATCCAGAAAGGTGATGAGCTGGGAGGGAATGGTTGAGCTTTGCTCCCAGTTTATCGTGAAGCACAAATGAGACAGATGTGACACCAGAACTCTTGTTTGGATTTTTGCTTCCTCCCTGGACTGGGTCAGGAGAAGGTCGTCCAGATAAAAGAGAATTCTCATCCCTGCCATATGCAGGGCTGCAGTGCCATTTCCATGCATTTCGAGAACGTACGTGGGGCGAGCGAACAACCAAAGGGGAGATGGTTGTATTGATACTGAATTCCCTGGAAGGAAAAATGCAGAACTTTCTGTTTATTATCAGGATATGAAAATATGCGTCTTTCAAATCCACGGACACAAAACAATCGCTCTGCCTGAAGCATCCGAGAACTCGTTCTGTCATTAACATATATAGCAATCATTCCATTATATGTTTGTTGAAGGAGGACAGATCCAGAATGGGTCTCGAACCTCCAGACTTCTTCGGAACCAGGAAGTACCGTGAGTAAAAACCAGTCAATTCCTCTCCGAGGGAAACCCTGAAAAATCACGTCTAACACTTGGAGTTCATCTAATTCGGCCTGTAAAATCAGGCCCTGTTCCGTAGATGTTAACAGGGTTTCTAACACTCCGTTGAACCTCAGGGGTGCTGCTGCAGACTGCAGCGTGTAGCCCTCTTTGATTAAACAGTGCACACATTTGCTCAGTTGAAACGTACACCGCCACGCCGCACTGCGTTCAGAGGGCGGACGCACGTGTGCGTTTTGTGTTGTGTGTAAGAGATTATGCGCCCCTACCGCCGTCGTCTACAAAGGTAGAGACCCTACGTGGACCCATGGGGGGCTTGAAGCGAAAGGGCTGCTGGTCAGTTTTGACGTGACGTCTTTCACACCGCACCTCAGCTGAGTCTGTGTGTGAGGGTTGCGCAGTCTGAGCAGGTGAGTAAATCGAGCGCTGCTTAGGAGTAGGGCTTTAACAGACTACTCAAGTAATCTACACATCGATTCCTAGGACATCTATCGAGTTTTTTTATTTCACGTCGAGTATTCGTGGTGACGTCATTACGTCGGCGTTACGTCATTGTGTCACGTGATCCGCACTAGGCGCGGGTTACAAAATGGATTCCTCCCAGCAGACAGATGGAGCGGAGCAGGCCCAGTCTTGGTAAACAGGAAGAAATGCATCAGTAGTCTGGAAACATTTAATAATAATAATAATAAACTTTATTTCTATAGCACCTTCCAACAACGCCTTGCCTTGACCAAGGTGCTTCACAAGACAAAACAAGATTAAAAACAGGACACAATAAATCAGTGCAAATTAAAAACACAGCGAGAATAAAAGAAGGTAAAAGAGATCAAATAAATAAATAAATAGTAAATACTAAACTACTAAAAGTTAAACATTAAAAGCCCTTTTAAATAAGTATGTTTTCAGTTTGGCTTTGAACAGAACCAGATCAGAGATGGCACGCAGCTCATAGGGAAGAGTTTTCCAGGCTGTTGGGCCTGCAACAGAAAAGGACCGGTCCCCCCATTGTTTGCACCTTGAGCAAGGCACCTCCAGCAGATACTGACCAGCAGACTGTAAAGCTCTGCTGGGCTGGTGGACTTTCAAAAGTCCTGAAATATAAGGTGGTGCAAGACCATTCAAAGCTTTAAAAACAAACAGTAGCAGCTTGAACTGTGTTCTAAACTGAACTGGGAACCAGTGCAAAGAAGAAAGGACAGGAGTGATATGTTCATGTTTACGTGTGTTAGTCAACAAGTGAGCAGCAGAGTTTTGTACAAGCTGTAAACGGGAGATAGACCTCAATAACGATAAAACTGAATAGATTTTATTTGGTGCTTCCAGTAATTCATGCAACATCTCTCCCAGTCTAGGTTTTCCGCTCCCCCACGCCAACCAGGTGGTAAAAAATCTAGGAGTGGAGCTTGACTTTCACTTAAAGCTAGATAAACAGATGAGTTCTGTTGTGAAAACCAGCTTCTTTCCACTCTGTCTGCTTTCTAAAGTAAAATCACTCCTTAGCCGTAGTGATCTGGAGAAGGCCATCCATGCCTTTGTGAGCTCTAGGCTTAATTACTGTAACGCCTTATATGTGGGAAACATTTCACTAAAGATGAATCTTGTGGTTCAACTACCGTAAGGAAACAGAAAATGAATCAACTTCCTGACTGTTTGGAGCTCGTGTGAACCGGTGTTACACCATATTTTGTGACCACCGTATATTGTGACCGTAGGGGGCGGTGTTGCATGCACTGTTGCAGGTCACAGAAAATGGTGTATCACCAGGTCCAATCGACCGAACCAGAACCAGCTTCCTCTGACCTTGTTTCACAAACAAAAAGCAAAAAAATATTAATCTCTAAACCTATAAAAAAAATCTATAAACATATTAATCTTTAAAACTAAACCTAATGTGCACCACAGCTGGCGGTGGTGCCGGGTGGTCGACCCCCTCCCCAGTTTTTAATTTTCTATTTTGACGTGCTGCATGTTTCGTTCAGTTTTGCAGCTTAATAATAAAAACTAATAGTTTAGTTTTTCCTGTGACTTATTTGCTGTATGATAAATAGTAGGAGCATAATATACACTCCCAATGTTTTGTTGGTCTTTTTTGTAAATAATGATCTTTTTTGCAGTTTTATTTATTTTTGTATTTTTAGATCCTATGATGTCATCAAGTACTCGAGTTCTACTCAAGTTTTATTATGTTAATGTCAAGTTTAAAAAATATGTAGTTGTTTGACCCCTACTTAGGAGGGAGCTCGTCTTCAGCGCTCGCCCCCACTGGCAGGCGAAAGAAGCTGAAGATCTTCCAGTTCTCAGGCTCCTCTCTTGTGGAACTTCCAGTTTCTGTCCGTGAGACTGACACATTGTCCAGTTTAAGACTTTCCTTCTTGATAAATCCTATAGTTAGGGTTGGCTTGTTATGCTGCTGTAGACTTAGACTACTAGAGGACAAACTGACCTCATTTCCTTAAATGAATTGTTAAAATTGAATAGTTTTCATTTGATACTATTTCTATCTTAACATGTGATTCTTGACCTGCCATTGTGTATCTATTCCTACCAAACCTAGCCAGTCGAAGCAGATGGTCCTCTAGTCCTGATCCTGGTTCTGCTAAAGTTTTCTTCCTCATGAGGGAGTTTTTCTTTCCACTGTCGCCTTCATGCTTGTTCAAGATGAGAGTTCAGTGATGGAGTTAAACTCAAAGCTGCTCCTCAGATAAATAATGTTCAATTATTATTTTATACATGAATGTTTCTGTTCAATTATTATTTTATACATGAATGTTTCTGTTCAATTATTATTTTATACATGAATGTTTCTGTTCAATTATTATTTTATAGATGAATGTTTCTGTTCAATTATTATTTTATACATGAATGTTTCTGTTCAATTATTATTTTATACATGAATGTTTCTGTTCAATTATTATTTTATAGATGAATGTTTCTGTTCAATTATTATTTTATAGATGAATGTTTCTGTTCAATTATTATTTTATAGATGAATGTTTCTGTTAAATTATTATTTTATAGATTAATGTTTCTGTTCAATGCCCTGAGGTGACTTCTGGTGTGACTTGGCGCTATATAAATAAACTGAAATGAAATTTCCTGATGCATGCTCAATGCAAATGAAATGAAATTGAATTGAAATTGAAGAGTGAAGAGGGAAACCCAGCAGAGCGTGCGCTCCTTTCGCCGGTTCATATTCTGGGTGTGTGGGGGTGGGGGGTTCCTGCGTCTTTTAAACATGTGTTTAAAGATTACCTTTCCACCCAGTGTGTTAGAGTGCCCATCCTCAGCGCCCGCCTTCACAGTCAGGTGGGAGAGGGGGGCTCATGGAGGGGAAAAATGAGGAGAAAAGCCAGCAAGGGAAATGGGGGCTGAATAGTCCGTCCAGACTAACAAGACCCTCCAACAGCTCTTAAGCTCATCCAGGATGAATGAGGAAAGTTTTAACCACATCTGTCTCTGAAGCACCGTCGCCCAAGCCAAAATGTGGGTAGAGCAGACTGCCTATGCCATGCACAGGTTTGTGATGGTGTCTGCGGCAGCATAGAGCTCGTCCAGCTCTGCAGGGGAAAGGTTTGACTCCTTGGTATTCCTGGATATGATAAGAGCTAGCCTAGCCACATTGTTCGTTGCTGCGGCTGCCTGGAATGAGCACTGATGGATTTTATTAGTGAACCTCGTGGTCAGATGGTCACTGGGAGATGGAAGGACAATATGTCGTCCGACGTACCTTGCCACTCTTACCCCAAAGATTTTCGACAAGCTGGGCTCCAGAGGAGGAACAGTCAGGAATCTGTGGTCAATGAGCCCCTCCCTCTTGGTGATGGGCACGTAAGTGGAAACCGGGACCCTCAGTTTCAGTGGTTCCGCAGCCAAACCCGAGAGGTAAGTAGACACCACCAGAAACCGAAGCCAGACTGGATCCTGGTGGCCGGAATGCTGGACGGCAAATCTTCCATTTGGCAGAGGCGCTGCTGGTCCAGGCACAGACAGGTCACACACCTTCGCCGACCTCTGGATAATTTCCGGAAGCATGTAAACGAGTGTGCCAATCGCCGGGAGAAGGGTGGTGGTCGACATCTGGATGCCCTGGGAACCACCTATCGACAGTAGATCCGTATCCAACTCTCATCCGAGAAGATGGAGCACAGCTGCTAGCTGTCTCACCATCAGAGGCGGACCCATCTGAGTCCTGCCTCACATTGGGGAAGTCGAGGAATTTGTCCAGTGGGTAACTCTCTTTTGGTTCTTCGTCGAAAGAAAAGCTTGAGCCAGCGTTGCTTCTCCTTGGCCGGGAGAAGCTTGCAGGACGGGCAGGAGGACGGTGGCGTCATAGCTTGGCGGGTGTGTGCAGCCTTGACAGACAACGTGCAGGTCCGAAGAGAGGATGTACCCCATCTTGCATGCTGGGCAGAGGCGAATTACTCGGCTGGACGACATCTTCACTCTTTAGAATTTTCTTTGAATGTTGTCTTCGCTGGCTGAAGAAAATGGGGAGTCGATCTCCGGTCCCGAGGCAATTTATATTATTTGGGGAGTAGTGGCACAGAAGTTAGATTAGATGGGCCTGTGATCAGAAAGTTGCAAGTTCAACTCCCGGTACAGTTAACATCAAAATGTGGGTGGAAAAAGTGAAACACCTACACCTGCCTTCACCCTCATTTGCCCCACTCTGGGCCCCTGAGCAAGGCCCTTAACCTCCACCATCTGATTCCAAAAACAGGTCTCTCTTGAAAATGAGTTCTCGTGACTCAATGGGAATACCTGGATAAATAAAAGGGTAAATGACAAAAATAACAAAATACGGACTGAGGGTGGGGCCCACACAACAGGTGGGCTGGACTAGAGTTTTTCAGTGTTGGTGCGCTTTGCACGGGGTAAACCCACGAGCGACAGCCCTTAAAGGGAAAAACCTATATGAAATAGAACTTAGCCTTGGCCCACTGGACCCATAAACCAAAATCTGGTCTGAAAAAACTGCCCCCACCTTGTCAGCTTGCGCCTCCAGACTCTTGGCTCCTGCAAACACGGTTTTCAGCTCTTCCTCCATCAGCCGAGACTTTCTGCAGGTCAGAGGATGGATCAGAACACAGTCACAGCCTGAAGCTAAAGGTCAAAGGTTATGAGGTCGGATCAGAACAGAACAGTCACAGCCTGAAGATAAAGGTCAAAGGTCATATTAGAACATAGAGTCACAGACTGAAGCTAAAGGTCATGGTGTCTGATCAGAAGAGTCACACAGCCTGAATCTAAAGAACAAAAGTCATGAGGTTCAATCAGAACACAGCCACAGCCTGAATAAAAAGGTCAAAGGTCATGAGGTTCAATCAGAACCCAGTAACAGCCTGAAGCTAAAGGTCAAATGTCATGAGGTCAGATAAGAACAGTCACAAAGCCTGAAGTGAAAGGTCAATGGTCACGAGGTTGGATCAGAACACAGTCAAATCCCGAAGCTAAAAATCAAAGGTCATGAGGTCTAATCAGAAGTCACAGCCTGAAGGTAAAGGTCAAAGGTCATGAGGTCCTATCAGAAAACAAGTTCATGTTGTGTTTTTTGTCATAGACAAGGTTAACACAAGGTTAACTGTACAATGACAAGCTCAGGATGAGAAGAACTGATTTGACTCGCTAAAAAAAAAAAAAAATCAGTTTCCCTTGCACAGACGTGGGTTACAGGGGCCCCACCCTGGAGCCAGGCCTGGGGGAGGGGCTCGTCGGCGAGCGCCTGGTGGCCGGGTCTCTACCCATGGGACCCAGTCAGGCTCAGCCCGAATGAGTAACATGAGTTTGCCTTCCTGTGAGCCCACCACATGCAGGAGGGGCCATATGATTCAAGGTTCTTTATTCGTTATTTGCACCTCATGTGGTACATGTGGTGAATAAAATTATATTCACAGAGTCTTTCGTCTTTCATCCGAGAGACTTCCTCAGTTTGAGGTGCTGTATTCAGCTCAGTCTCTTAAATAGCACCTTCTCAGAGTGGATCAACCAGTTTTGCTGCTGACAACCAAAACCAGCTGATCACATGCTCAAGAAGGACCATCAGCCTAACAATGGATCATTAGCACACTGATGGCTGTTTACTATTCACAGAGGGCTGAGTGATACTAGCAATCACAGCATTGTAAGAGGGGGACAGTTGAACCGGGAGGCTCCGCCCCTGTTTAATGATGGACGATTTCTTTTCACAAAGATGGCCTCCTTTACTCCTCTCTCAAACCATCGTTCCTCTCTGTCCAGGATGTGAACATCTTCATCCCTGAAAGAGTGACCTCTGGCCTGGAGATGAGTGTAGACCTCAGAGTCCTGGCCTGATGATGTTGATCTTCTGTGCTGGGCCATCCTTTTGGCCAGTGGCTGTTTAGTTTCCCAGATGTAAGACTGATCACCCTCCTGACACTGAACAACATACACAACATTACTCTATTTGTGCCGGGGGACTGGATCTTTGGGATGAACCAGTCTTTAATGTATTTTGGGGTTTAAAAGCCACTGGGACGTTATGTTTAGAAAATAAATGTCTCAGTTTCTCTGATACTCCCTTAACATATGGAATGACCACTGGTCTGGGTCTGGGTTTCTCCTTTTCACCTGTTGGCTGACTGGAGTCCCGTTTGGGTTTCTTCTCTCTTTCAGGAAGGCCCAGTTAGGATTTCCACATTGCTCTAGAGCCTGTCTTGTGTGGGATTTCTCCTTCTGCCTGGCTCCTGAGCTAGTGGGGACGCTGTCTGCTCTGTGGTACAGAGTCCTGATGACTCCTAACTTGTGCTCCAAAGGGTGATGGGAGTCAAACTGCAAATACTGGTCTGTGTGGGTGGGTTTGTGGTACACCTCAGTTTGCAAATGTCCTCTATCAGAGACTGAGACCTCACAGTCCAAGAAAGCCAACCTGCCATTTTTTACATCTTCTCGTGTGAACTTGATGTATTTATCCACAGAGTTGATGTGGTCAGTAAAATGTTGGACTTCC